CATGTGAATTGTAAAAAAATGGTCATTTAGCTTTCACTCTACAACATGAAAACCGATGTAGACATGCTTGGGCTATCTCCTGGATATTGTTGCATGCATAAGAGACCCACATGGATTGATCGTACTACTTCTAAATAATGTGAATCAGCATGAAAAGTATCAACTAGTTCAGTGACCTTACTTCTTTGTGATAATGGCAAATCCAATAATATTAGCCTTCAATTTTCGATGAAGAGATTGGAGAATTTTTCAATTTGAATAATGGCAAATCCAATAATATTACAATTCTTGTAATGAGTCACATGTCGAAATTTTTGAAGAATTGTCCAAAAAAAAAATCTAGAAAGAAAAATTCAATACAATAGCTATAGATGCCAAGAATCCATGCTTTTGGTCAAGGAAGTGTCTGCATAACATTGCCAATTTTGTGAAGGAGGCAACAACTATGTCTTTTGGCTTTGAAGCACTTGTTTTTCTATTTTGATATTGAAGAAATTTGGTCGATTGAGCAAGGAATTGCTATTCATGTCTGAAAATAATGATGTTCGATCCAAATAACACCTAGAGGGCGTGAATATGTGTAAACTGAGGAATTTAAACTTACCAATTATTATAAGCAACAAGTCACTATTAATAATTAATTTAGATGAATTCGCATGCAATTACTATCCTACATTGAATTAGCCCGGTTTGCATAATTACAGAAAAGTAAATAACGCAAGTATTTTGATGACGGCTCACAGGATAAAATCTCCGGGACTAAACCAGTAAAATCCACTATGGATACAGACTTACAGTATGGACAGTATGGTCCAGACTAGACAACCTTCTAGACTCACTAACTTATTTCCTATAATCTCCAAGGCCCTCTTGGACTGTGTGTTCCTCACACCAGCTCCCGACCTTCTAGAATTGTTTATCTCCTGTGGATCACCAAAAACTTCTTGTTCTTGTCCTCTTCCTGGACTCCTGGTCGCCTTCTTGAATCATCTATCTGATAGGTATTTAGGAAGTGGGTGTTTTGATCATTTGGATTGATGTTTTCTTCAAAGTGTGGTTGATTGATCTCAAGGTTAGATCCGTAATAGGATCTCCAAAGTATGTTTTCTAGGTAGAATAATATGATCAACCACAGTTTTTATGAAGTGGGACTTGTGTGTTTTTAGAAGAGAGGTATTAGGGTAGTATGGGATAGATAAAACTCTTGAAAATCGCAAACTAGAGTTTCATAGGAAATGTCATCGCTTGAGCGACGGGTGCATCGCTCGAGTGACACGCAGCGAGAACGATTCTATTTTGGACGCTCAAGCATTAGCTTGGCGACATGGTAACATAATTCCAGTGACTTTTTCTCATTGTTCCATACTTGAATCCAAAGACCTCTAGTTCATCTATACAACATCTCAATAGACTTCTTGACTTTTATAATTCTTTTACTAACATTAATTTTGTCTAAAGTCATGCCAATACAATGAAACTTAACAATGTCCTAATAGATATGTAACTTTTGATTAAATTGACCAAAGCAGCTAATGAGCATTTCATAGTGTAAGATTTGAGGACAAATTATCAATCGGAGAAGAATAATGAAAATATCATAAATTGTAGTCACTATATTTAATTTTAATCTTTATCTGGATTTAATCTTGATGAAGATAGATTCTTCACCATTAATTTTAGTCATTATTTTTAGTTTTTGTCTTAATCTAAATTTTAGTTTTTATCTAACTTTTAGTTATTGCTTTAAATAATGGTTGTAAGCAAGGCAGTAAGAAGTTTTTGAATTGAAGACCTTGGAGTTTTCCAATCTTTTAAATTCTCGGCATTTGATATCTAAATAAACAAGTTCAAATCGTCTGTATTCATGTACGAATCAAAGAGTATTTTATGCCTAGATTTTCTGTATTCTTGTGAATCAACAGAAACTAGAAAGTGAACCCGTTGCTGTATTTGTTTGAAATCTACACAACTTGGACAACATGTTCATTTATTATTTTATCTCTTTTGCCACGACATCTGTAAGCGGACCTTAATTTCTTCAAATATTAATGACAGTAATTTCACGTATTAATACCTATAATACAAAACACTAATATGTCCAAGAAGGTTGAGTAGGTAAGCACTATGTTAAAATCCCCAACTTGTCTTTTCACACACAATTTCTAGTACCAAGACATCAAAGCTAAATACATCTAATTTTACCGAGAGCAAGTAGTCCACTACATACTTTGCACAACATGTAGCTATTACTTAAAATCATCGACCAGAAAATAATAATACAAGCAGTGGGAAATTATTAGATACATTGTTGTATAAAGATTCTAACTATGTTCCTACAACCCGGCGAGTCTTAGCTTAAAGCTATGTTTGGTTCAGTTAGAAGTTCTGATTAAAATTTAAGCTATTGTCAATAATTAATTTTAAGTACACATTTTATGAAATTCACAATTCATTTTGCTTATTGATTTATTGAGATTTAAACTCATAGATTAGCTAGTTAAGAAAAATATGAATACCTATTGCATACTTTAATTTAATGGCCCAAATTTAATGGACGTTTCAAGCCCCCAAAAACTCTGACATCGATTAAATTTCATCT